TAGGCTTTAGGGTTTCAGGTTCAGGGATAAGGTTCCAGGGCTTAGGGGGTATTAGGTTTAGGTCTTAGGGTCAAGGGATTTGTGTCAAGAATCAGGGTTTAGGGATGAAGTTGTAGGGGGTTACGTTTTACGTTTCTAGCATTGAGGTCAAGGGTTTGGATATTTCATCACAACGTCCAATCACGTGATGGGCCCAAAGGCTAACTACTTCAGCGCACTCCCTCAAGGGTCCATGTACGCATAATTGGGTACTTGGGGTTTTGATACTTTGCCTGCGGTCCAGACGGTAGCCCAGGCGGATATATCCCCAGGCTACATCCGAAATTGAAGCTGCACTATCTCAGGCCTGTGACGCAGAAACATAGACGCTTGAACCTTCTTGCAACGCTGGCTTTACCCCATAGCCCCAAATCCTTCAACCCTAAACCCTAAACCTAAGGCCTGAACCCTAAACCCTACACTAAGAATCGGCAACTCAGAAACCCACCCCTCTGGTCCATAGACCCCGGCAGCAAACCAAAGCCACATATCTCTAACACAAAAGCAAAGGAGCCTTGGGCTAGGTAGTCACTCATTGTACCATCGGAGCTTTGTACCTAACGATTTGGTATTTTACCTTGTCTACGGGTCTAAGGCACCTCCAGAACAGCCCTGAACCTGATAGCTGACATTCCTAAGTTCAGGCGCAGAGCCCAAAAAGCACAGGGCCAATAAGGACCAATCTGTTAACGCTCAGTTGTAGCAGTATGCTACAGTGTCACGGCTCGGTGGCGCCACGTAATGTCGCGAAATAGTAGATAATGTCTCCAACTCTCATCATCCTTGTGAGGTCATTCCAAGTTCACTGTGTGGCCCATGGGGATGCCCATGTCATCCTGAGCTGTCTTTCCTTGGGCATTGTTGGACGTGTCCACGCCGGCAGGTGCCAGCGGCAGCTGTGCTGCCTTCATGGGCACCATGGTCTTGGCTGCACTCACACGCTGAGGCTGTGGCGCGTGCGCGCTGTTCACGATCTTCGTAGGTTATCCCTAGACTTCGGACCAACAGCCCCTTTACTTGGATACTTGGAGACTCCCTGGAGCTCTCTAAGTTACCTTGGGCCCACTAAAACCCATAAGTGGCAAATACTTTCCGCAAACCCTCAGATCTGGGGTGAGGGATCCTGTGGCCCACGCCCGAGCATGCCACGGTCCCTCACCTCTGGGTCGGGCCTGGAGGGGCCTGAGCACAAGACTCTACAATGGGATGCCTTCATTTCAGGATTCAGGATTTGTAGGGTATTTAGGTCTATTGGGGTTGAGAGGTTTTAGAATATAGAGTCTTCAGACTTGAAGGTGTTGAGGATTCAGGGTGTTTAGGAACAAAGCTTTGGGGGTAAGGGGTGTTGTGGCTTCGGATTTGGGGTTGAAGGTCACGAGCTCCGGCCAATACGATTTCTCGCGGCGATGCTCATTCTACAGTTCTCATGGGCGGCAATAGTTCGAACCTACACTCCTAGTAAGGCCCATAATCATCCCCTATATAACCCGCCTTTAGGGAGTTTAGACCCTAAACCCTAAACCCTATATAATCCCCTAGATAATCTCCTTTAAGGAGTTTAGACCCTAAACCCTAAACCCTACATAATCCCCTAGATAATCCCCTTTAAGGAGTTTAGACCCTAAACCCTAAACCCTATATAATCCCCTAGATAATCCCCTTTAAGGAGTTTAGACCCTAAAATCTAAACCCTATATAATCCCCTAGATAATCCCCTTTAAGGAGTTTAGACTATAGCTCATATGTGAAGGAAAGGCTTTCCAGGGCATCCAGGCTCCGTTTCGGACACCAATTTTGTGTGCGCTCTACCGTGTGCTCAATGAAATTCGCAAGGGATCCAAATAGCCCAATGTAGGTAATGATTTAGGGTCATAGGGTCTAAGGTTAAGGGCAAATAGCCCCATGTAGGTAATATCTACAGACTTTAGGGCTTCCATTTTTCCATTTGATTCTTCAGTATTGGTATTATTTGTCTTGGATCCGTAGGGTTTTTCCTTGGGCACAAAAACCTCACTTCAAAGTCAGGCACCCCGCCAATAAACGCCTCGGGTATAAGTTTCTAGCTAGACCCCTGCGTACTTCTATACATGCCAGCGGTCTCTGGTATTATGTATGCTATACATGACCAATGGGACTTTTTGGAAGCTGCACCCGCTCAAATTCTTGGATAAAGCCTGCAAATCCGTCCAAAAATTTGCCCTCAAGAGCCTCACTGCAATCTTCCCCAGGCCCTCAAATGCTACCGAAACCTGTGTTCCTGGTGGGTCACTGTTTGGGCCGGTCCGTAGGCAGCTGCAGATCCGTAATATAACCCCTATGATCCCTGTAGTTTCCATTTTCTCTTCCATTATCCCAATATAACCCCAATATACTATACTAGTTCCCATTTCATTTTCCACTATCCCAATACAAACCCCAATATAACCCCAATGGGTCCTTGCTGAGTAAGTACAGGCTCACAAGATCAGGATATTCTTGGCCCTACCTGCCGTAATTTCGTTCCCGGCGCCTCCAACTGCATAGTATCACCCAACCAATTATTTCCTGGGATTCCGTAGATTTACAGAGTTGAGGGTCCAAGGTAGGTATCATTTGCGCACTTGGATCCATAGGGAAATCTAAATCCCAATGTTCTCATTCTTGTGGAAGCAAAGTGTAAATGGCCCGAGCCATGGGCTCGCTAATCAAGTTGTTTGGCCCTACTACCCGAAGCCAAGACCAAAACCCGAACCTTACACCTTGTAAGCCCTCCCGGAACCTTAAACCGCCAAACCCTCACATCCCCCAAAAAATCAAAGCATATAAATGGCATTAAACCCCAAAGCGCCAAAATCCTGGGCTCGGAACAAAGGTCCATGTGCACCAGTCCCGATCCGAAATTTTCAGCCCTGGCGGTGGTTTGGAGAGGTTTCGGGATTTTGTAGGTTGAGGATTAGGGGTTGGGGTTCCAAGGCTAGGGATCAAGGTTTAAGGATCAAGGGTTCTCCTTTTTGATGTTTTTTTCCACCCAGCTCCCCTGGTTTGGGTTCAGGGTGGTGTCTATAGGCTCAGGAAAACCTACAACTGGACGGCGGCACGCTTTGTTTATGCTGTGACTGTTTTGCTGGAAGGCAGAAACAAACCGGACACATATGTGTGATACTGCTCACTTGCACTCCAAACCACCTCTCCAGCGTGGGGGGTTTCTGTACATCAAGGCGTTCACCCCAAAAAAGCACACGCAGAGGAGCAGGCCGAGCTCAGAGCGCACTCGCAACAACGCTATTGCTGCCATCACCCCCACCCATCACGGGAGCTAGGAGTTGTCCCTAGCCTGCCTTCTCTGCCAGCTTGGCACGGTTCATCACGTTCACACGTCCCAAGCTGAAATGCAGAACACTTCCCGTCAATCAGCTTGATCCCGCCTCCGACTCATTTTGCACCCTTGCCTCTTCCGGGACTGGCACGCAGCTTGCCCAGCCGAGCTTGCCAGCCCCTTTGCTCATGCATGTCCCCAGGAATTCGGTTGGAACTAAAAGGCATTCCTGACTTGCTCATGAAGGGCTTGGTCTACGGTGAAGCCGCTGCGCATGAGTTGGTTTAATTTGAAAAATTCGCGCCCACCGCTGCAGCCTCCGCAAATGTGGGTCCGTGCATCAGGCCTGGCCAAACGTACAGCTCTATAAGCTTGACTAGCAAAGTCGTAGCAACGCCTAGATGGCACCTTCCCACCGATGCCCAAAATCTGCTGCGCAATGTAAGCTTTGTTGTAACACATATGGGGCAACGGTATGGGCTCCATCTCTGGCACATCTGCCTCACCCGATGCCATGGCCTAAATGTCAAGGAATGGCTTGCCCTTTTGTTTGAAAAAGTCTTTGCTCCACAGCTCTTTCTGGCTGAATATGGTTTGGAACAACGGTTGACACAGGCGCCTTGGATGCTCTGAGGATGAGTGTGAAGATACCTTCGGACCCGCGTTGCCAGTGACCAGTACATCGCACTTGCAGTCTGCGGGCTTTTGCATCCACTTCCTTGGCCCGCCATTGGAAAGCCTAATCTTAGCCACCACGCCCTTGCAATTTGCAAGGCAACCTGAAATTCAAACTCGAAACGCGACACGCGATAATTCGAATCCAAACCACACTGGCAACAGCACACACGAGTGACACACAACCAAGCAAAGCTCCTTGCCAACGGACTAAACCTTAAACCCTAAACTGGGTTGCTGTTAAGGAACTTAAATTAAGTTACCATACTGGGTATATATAGTAATTAATATGGTTCCCCCAATATGGTAACTTAAATTAAGTTCCTTAACAGCAACCCAGTAAACCCCCCATGATTTTGTACAGACCCGAGGTAGGGAGTGAAGGTGTCACAGATCAAGTCCAGTGACGCTGCCACAGGGCTTGCGCTCAAGGGCTTAAGCTTTGGGTTAACGGTTTGGGGTTTAAGGTTCTGGGATGGGGTCCGGTGTCTAGGCAAAGGGACAGGAAAAAGTTATGCTTTTGAATTTCATAAGAATGTATCTGACTATCTAGATATCTGACCACACATGTCAGCACATTCCCTACGATATAATACATACTTCCACCAAATAGAAAAGAGGGGTAGGCCAAGCCAACAACAACCAGAGGGAAACTGGTGGCGAAACTTTAGCACACCCATGGGTTGATCCCTGTCATGTTTCAACCCAGCACTGGCTGCTTTTCTCACGGGTAGCATATGAACTCCACTACTTCTACACATGTCATACGCACTTCTACGATTAAGGTTGGTGTCTAGAATACGTAGGCCTAGGCTGAACGTTTGGGCTTAGAGCCGCCACAACTACAACAACGTTTTGATGAGTTCGACTTTATATAACTACGAGGCCATCTTGACTTGATGTGGTGGTGTTTGCTAGCCCCGCTTTGTGTCAAAATCCGTCCTCCATGTGGCGGCATTGCATGATTCCTACGCCAAACAAGAGGTTCCTTTCTCTTTCGATTCGGACTGGCCAGGTGGTTCGGAGAAAAACTGGCGGTGCAGAGTTGACTTTTGAATCCCTTGAGTGTAGAAGGTGGGGACTCAAAGTGAGTTGAACATAGTTCTTGATGTTTTGGGTATGGCAATAAAATAGGAATAGTAGTAAAACAACAGTGAGAATGGCAATAATGTTAGTGGAAGAGGTTTAGCAGCCCGGGATCCCAGTCCTAACCCCCACCCCACATGTCTGCAAACTGTGCTAAAACACGCTGAGCGTCTTTGCTGCGTCCAGGGTTTCAGGATTTAGGGTTTCGGGCTTAGGACGTAGGATTCAGGGTTTAGTATTTAGGCCCCCCAAAAGCACATGTTTCAGCACATATCCAGATTCATGGAGATTCCTTTCACGTTGGGCCATTGAAGGGGCTTGCAGGGGCTGGAAACTTTCGTGTGAACTGATCAAAGCTAAGTGGGGCACCTGCAACTTTGCATGCTCTTCCATATATCCCACCCTTTTTTATACGTAAACCCAAAACCCGAACGCATGTGGAGGAGGGGGTCCGCGCCTCTTCCCCACCTGCTCGTACGTGCTCCAGACCTTACACAGCTTTAGGGTATATAGGGTCTGGGGCCAGAGTGTGGGGACCTCTCATATACGAATTGTTGATTCTAGTGGTATTATTCAAACGACCGTTTGTGGTCTATACTAGTTACTAGCTAGAGGATTCAGTCAGCAGAAACAAACAACATGTTGTTCCGAAACTACCAGCACAATGCGAGACTACGCAGCCACCGCTTTGGAGTTGGAAGCCATTCCTGTGGGTATATGATGGGAGGTCTATCCGAAAAAAGTGAAACGTAAATGCAATTGGGAGGTTGTCTCGGTCGCGGAAGGGCTCTCAGCCCACCCCTGAGAAGTGAACAATCCGTACAATGACCCAATTCTAGTGAGAACACATGACGGGGCAGGGGAGCCTTCATCCTTAGGGGAAGAACCCTAAACCGAACCTAAACCCTAACCCCTAAGCCCCTAAACCCCGAAACCCCAAACCCCCAGACCCTAAACCGCAAGCCCTTAAACCCTAAACCCTAAAACCAAATCCCTAAACCCTCAACCCCGAAACCGCATTCTTAAGGCACGACCCGGTTTCATCCGAGACTGCGGCATAAGGACCCGCAGTTCCATCTGCCGCAATGGGCCTCTCGGCTTCAGAGCGGGGGTACCGTATATAGGGGTGTATAGTTGGAGAGTAATACAGGGGTTTATGTAGGGGTTATGTAGGGGTAGTGGAAAAGAAAATGGAAACTACTATTAAGGGTTTAGGGTTTAGGATTTGGGGTGTAGGGTTTAGGGTTTACTTGGAGGGTAAAGGAGGACTTAGTAAGTAGGTTAATAATGGGGATAATTTGGGTTACTATATGGTTTATAGGGGTTATTAACCTACTCACTAAGTCACCTGATCCTCCAAGTAGGGGTATAGGGGTTTGGGACTTAGGGTTTAGGTTGTATAGGGTTTAGGGTGTACAAGGTTTAGGGTTTACAGTTTAGGGCTCGGGGCTTAGGGGACCCGCAACTATGCCAGGGTTCCTACATATTGGGCGGATGGGGTCCCATCTTTATAGAAACTAGCACATGCCCTTACCACCACTGGTAGGGTGGATCATTTTAGGTAATTGCGTCTGTGGATGGAAGACATTTTGCACGACCATATGTACGCTATACCTGGAGTTTTACTGCACATTGGGAGTCTTAAGTGGGGCCAGATTTCCTCCATCCACCACATGACTATCATACGACTTTGATAGGGTCCTCTTTGTATGATTTATGGTTGCCACAAGCCTCTTCTTGACCTATACTCACATTTCATGCTCCTTTGTCTTTTCCTCTGATTCTTCACCCCAAGCCCTAAACCCTACATATCCCCTTAGCCCCTTTAAAGGGACCTTAGGCTACCAAACTCCTTCTATACCCTAAAACCCTAAACACTAAACCCTAAACCCTAAAAGATACCCCGCCTGTGTCCAAGGCAGGGTCGATTCGCGTGCTTCTTCCGGGCCAGCTGGAAGTTCTCGTAGGACGTCTTGATCTGAGAAAACTGGGTTGCTGTTAAGGAACTTAAATTAAGTTACTATATTGGGGAAACCACATATTAATTACTATATATACCCATTCTGGTAACTCAATTTAAGTTCCTTAACAGCAACCCAGAAAAGGAGGGGTGGGAGGGGTTGGGGCGTTTAGAGCTCAGAGTTGAGGGCTTATAAGCCCTGAACCCTCTGTAATCCCCTATATAACCCCCTTAAAGGAATGTATAGAGTTTAGAGTTTTGGCTGCGGCTTACACCAGGACTTCACAGCCCACAAATTGCATTGTGCAGCTTAAGACAACACCTCCAAGGCCGAACTATGTAGGGATGACCTGGGTGATGCGCATAGGGTTTAGGGTTTAGAATTTAGGGTGAGTCTAGGGTTAAGGTTGTTAAGTTTTAGGGCAGCTCTGGATCCACGTACGTCATCTACGTGTCCATGGAGAAATTGTTTTTCGAGGGAGTTAGCCAAGAGTTTGGGTTCACCCCTCGACCTGCAAAATGGGCGTCATGAAGATCCTCTTCATCGGGATTTCGGAGCAATTCTGTAGGCCTAAACTAGGTTAGGATTTTGACCTAGGGTAAACAGAACCAAAGAGCACTCTAAAAGGAGCCCTAGGAGGGTAAGTGCTCTTTGATTTCTTGGGCTTCTATCCCTATTATGGTCATAAAATCCTAACCTGTACTTACTAAACCCCTCATCCCCAAATGCTAGCTTCAACAGGACTTGGCTGTTGCTGCCTGCTCCCGGGACTCGGGATCGAAGATTCCCACGGAAGGCTCCTGCGAGTTGAGAGTCTGCAGGTTAAGCTTCCTGTATAACTCCCAAAGGGTCTCAAGTATGTTTATGGGGACATCTTTGTTTTTAGGTATATAAAATGATATAAACCCGAAATGAAAGTGCATGTTCGGTGAAAAGTGCATTCACGGTAGAAAGTGTGCGAAGGGTGAAAACAAACATGTGGAAAATGTGATATTTCACCTGTCCCTTCAGTCTAAAATGCTACTGTTTATAGTCATTTTGGTGCATAATCATGACCGATTTAAGTAGACACAAGGCATATTCGTTTCGCTTCATTTTCAGGCCCCAGAAAGCTTTCGCGCGCAGATCAGTGGCACTGGAGACACACTCAACATACCTCGTCACAGGGTCTGGATTTTCAGAAGTTGGCTATATTAGCTTTATAGCCATGAACAATCCGAATTGCTGATGTACTAGGACTATAGTCCAAGACCCCAGTGAAGCATTCACTGCATGAAATGGGCCAGCTCTACCCACATACGATGGTTCAGGCCAGTTCGTTTAATCCAGCTCGTTGACATCAACTGTGGGTTTCGAAGCGACACTCAGGCGAAGAGCTTGGTAGCATTGCAAAATATAGTTCGCGACAAGCACCTCGTTACCCACTCGATCCACGATCTCTATCCACAAATCCTCCTCTGCATGCTTCATTTCACCCAGAGGTGCCCACCTAAGCCAGTCCATGTGCAGGGATCGATCTGGATCGTCAGGGATCCATTGGGTGCCTGCTTTTCTGCCCAAGATACGCCTCCACTGGCGCTTTTCAATCCATTCCACATTCACGTACACCACGTCGTGCACCACAATCGGCATGTCAGGAAACGATACTTTTCAGGATACAGCACACCTCACGAAACTGATAAATGGGGCTTGGGCGAAACAGATTGCTGGACACCATATATACTCATGATCAGAGCACTTGCAAGTCAAAGATCGGATCCATGCATGAATCTGAGGTATATAGCGGTAGCGTAGAAGCAAATTTTCAAAGCACACCCCCCAGCGTCATGAACACTAGGGATATCACAGGCACAAATCGCATCATGCCTAATTAGCTCAGCTAATTGGCCACGCGGGAGCGCACAGACGCACTCAAGCAGCTACTTTGAAGGCAAAGCCCGGAGATTCCAATTATTGAAGAATATTATTGGGCTCTTTCCGTTATGGGGTATACGCCATATGATCGTTCTAATCTATACTTCATTGGAATCAGGCTAGGGGCTGGGGTTTCCAAAATCACGAATTATTACACTCCGCACCAGCATCCGGCACACAGCGCTAGCGGTACTCATCCAAGTTCAGCGAAAGCCTGAGGATCATTATAAATGCTGGGCTCTTCGATCTAGCTACGTAGATACCAATATTTAAAGGGATACGAAATTGCTGCCAAAGCTCCACATGTAAAATCTCCGAAGGGTGCTCTTTTCCATTGTCCGGCTGTGCGTCTTCTCAGCGATACCTTGATTAAATAACTAGATCTAGTCTTAATATTTTTTGGGTGGATTCGTTGGGGTATGGGGAGGCCCGGTAGTACTTTGAGGAGCAAACTTTTTGCATGTGAATATCGGTGGTAGCCCGATTTATTCTGGAAAATCATATGCCCGAAACCCTGCTCTAAACCATATTTGAGCCTAGCTTGCAACCAATAATAATTTATTATTATATAGTACTCACCCTTTTAAGCTCACCATTCGAAACAACATACCCCTAAGACTCTGGCCCCTATCGCGCTATAGATCGCCCAAACGCGGCATGGCCTATACGTAAGCCCAAACCCCTAGTTTCTAAAGCATAAAAGCCCTGAAGCATAATATATAATCATGCCCGAGTCACAGATCAAGTGCCCGTTACAATCTTCGGCACTAAATGTGTGCTGGAAGCGCCAGTTCACGCCTCAGCATCCAAAATGTAAATTCGGCTGTAGCGACGAGGAGGTTTCAATTTTGCGGCAATAAATGAAAAATATTAAGCAAGATGAATCAAGGTACGCTCACGACAGGCCGTCGCCACCATTTCTTGGATGGCCTACATATTAGGTCTGTACTAGCGCGTAGCACAAAACATTATTAGAATAATACAACTGCGAGACCCCTAGCGAGACCATAAACCCTAACCCCCCACGCCAAGAAAAAAAAACATTCAAAAACCTGCCCACCCAGCCACAATTCCCCTGCATCGTTCGAAACCCTTTAAAGATCCTAGAGGGTTAATGGGTTTAGGCCGAGTTATAATATATATAATAGCTTTAGGGATTTTAGAATCGAAAGATATAACGCTCACAATAGCCCGGGCACGTGTAATTTCGGCCTCACCTGAAACAATCCGGACCCGGCTGCTGCAGAGCGCGCCCCGAGCAGCATGTAAGCCGCCAGGCACGAATCCTTTGAATTTAAACACGAAAAAACATGAAACCAGCAGAAGTCATGGGATCCAAAAACAACATGATAAATCTTCACCGGTATACAGCACACTCGCGAATGCGCTCGATTTCGTGCTCATCCATGAACCGCTGGGCTTTCTCGGACGTGTTCACCAGCTCAGACATGAAGTGCCTAGCATGTCGCATTAAAATATATACATACGCAACTATATACGCATGTTTAAGGATTTAACGCGAAAAAAATTAAAAGATTCGCGAATTCGACACCCGGGCACATGCACTGCGCGCACAGCCGCATCATCTCGTCCTGCTCATACTCGGCCTTGCCAGCCAGCTGGACCGTAACATCAGCAAGCCAGCTGCAAATCACTCTGGCCTGAGATGTAATCGAATCTTCAGTATAGAAAGGCTGAGGATGTAACCCGCTATGTTTACTGTTTAAGGATATGGGTCCATATGGTTGGGGGTTGTCATTCTTGCAACTTGAGGGCGTTGTACGCCTTTGCAGCAAGTTCTCGTTCTCCATCCTTGCCGCGCAGCAACTTCGGTTGAAACACCGGCTGGCTGTGCCTTATTTCGAATGTGCTCCACCCTATAGCTAGCCCACTATAATTATAAGGGTTAGGGGTTATCAGTGCTGGGATATAGCTACTAGTCCTATCCATCTAGATCTACCAAGTATTCCCGGCTTAGCTCCCCCAGGTTGCTGCCGGGTGCACAAATCCCTGCGGCGTAGGGACAGTACTCTACACTAGGTAGTTTGGGGTATTTGGGGGAACATATTATTAGTTAACCTAGATAGAAGCACAAGGTCGAATAATGGAGTTGCCGGAAAAGTGGGCGTAACAGCACATTCCTCACCCCAGTTTAAACAAAAGGTACGGTCGTATTATCCAAGGCTCACAATCTTTCGATCGCGGGCCCACGAACAGAACTGCTCGTATGCGGCTTTGAGTTGCACTGCTTCGGAACCTGGGCCGAACACGTCCTTGGGTGAGGATTCAAGATCGGCAGTTTCAGAGCAGGGGCTTGGGGCAGGTATGTATATATATATATAGGATGGGGTAAGGATTACGAATTAAGGTTTAGGGTTAAGGTGGTTTAGGGGTTAGGGTTCAGGGACTTAGGGTTTCCGTTTTAGGGTCTCAGGTTCAGGGCCGAAGAACCAGCAACACTCGAACCTCAACAAGGTTATACTAGACTCCAAAACCCCGGACCCTACACCGTAGAAGAAAATCGTATGATTCCCTGTAGCTGCTTCATGGCAAGTTGCACGCTGGATCAAAAGGGTCAACACACCAGCTTCTGCCCACACCATTGGTCCCAGATTTAGGGAATGCAGGCTGCACCAGCGGATCATCTGGTGGTGGAACCCCTTGATGTCGAGAATCACACCTTGCTTGGAATTCTCAATTTTTCACTCATTTGGGGTGCTACGATTCCTGTACCCAATTATAAGTATACGTGGTCAGAGCTCATCAGATCGAAGCTTGAATTTCAAGCAAGAATGAATATTGCTACTAGAAGTGGGGCCCCTTGTAGTTTCTCATGCGTGTGGGAGCTTAGGCTTGGGGTTTAGGGTTTAATAGGTCCTCACAAGACAGGTTCCAACATGCGGTCACGAATCTGGGGTTCTCAGGGCTGAGGCAATCAGTCCTAAAGCTCTCAAGGGTGCGTCGTGGCCGGTGTGGCACTTCAGATGGCACTTCCACATAGCCGTCTTGGTTCAGAACGTAGCAATGATGACATAGGTAGCGGCAGTTCCAGGCCACACGGAGACCCATCCACTCCTTATATAGGATACTAGGATGGGGATCTATATTATTAATAGGATCCTTGGAAGTCTTTTGGGCATTTAAACCATCCTTCCGCATCCCATATGATTTGCCTGAACACGAATTCGAGGGCCTCTTGATCTTAAATGGTCGTCATGGCTGAAGAACATGGAACTCTCGCAAACCAACCCGGCCTTATACAAGGTACACGACAAAGGGTCCCACACTAATATTGGTAGAGCTATACATATACCCTCTCTAAAATAATACCTAGAATTATTAGATTTGGCCCAAGTGCTACTTCCCACTCTAGCTCAAAGCCTCCATATTTACTTCAAAGTAGGGCTTTTATTCTTACACGCTTTAGGGCAGTAGTCCATTCTAACCCGCAAAGTAGACAACAATATACATTACGGGGATCCTTGTAGAACTTCCAGTCACCACGCAGCTCGGTCACCCGCGATCTAAGGCGGGACGAATCAGGCAGCACGTGGATGGCGATGTCTGAGGCCGGGGGGTCAAGGTCATGGCAGCATCCTTGCGAGTCCAGGATCGGGCTGACGGGCTCGAAGCCATTGTAGAGCAGGTTCAGGGACGCAACCACCTTGGCGTAATATATACGGCTTGGGAACATCTCTAGCATTAACGAGGAATTCATGAATATGGTTTGGATTCGGGATCGGCCTGCTTCCTGATTCGATCGTAGCTATATCTCCATGGTTCAAACACCCAGTACTAGTACTAGTACGATCGTTTAAAGAAGCGAAACTACTTCAAATAACTTTCCTGAAATGGGATCTTCTACGAGGTACATATATGTGGGCCA